TATGTTAACATCTGTATTTGCCATTGTGTTTGTCTTTCCTTTGATTTTATTTATTTATTCTTTTAATAACTTTTTTTTTTTTGGCCTTCTTTCATTGTTATTTGTCCCTCTGAGGTTCTGGCTTTAGGACTCCTTGTAGTATTTTTTGGAGTGGGGGTTTAGTTGCAATGAAATTCCGGAGTTTCTGTTTGTCTGGGAAGGTCCATATTCTTTCTTCAAAGAGGAAGGAGAGCTTTGCGGGATAGAGTATACTTGGTTGGCATCTGTTTTCTTGGAGTCTGTTGACTATGTCCCTCCACTCTCTCCTTGCCCGTAGTGTTTCTTCGGAGAAGTCTGATGTCAGCCTGATTGGCTTTCCTTTGAATGTTATCTGTTTCTTCCCTCTTGCCAGCTTCATTATTTTTTCCTTGTCCTGGATTCTAGGGAGCTTTACTATTATGTGTCTTGCTGTATTTTTTCTTTCGTCGTGGAAGTTTGGTGTTCTTCTTGCTTCTTGTATATCAATTTTCAGCTCCTTCTTCACATTTGGGAAGTTCTCTTCAATTATCTCTTTGAATATTTTCTCTGTTCCTACTTCTCTCTCCTCTCCTTCTGGTATTCCTATAACTCTTATATTTCCTTTCCTCATGGAGTCAGATAGTTCCCGAAGTCTTTCTTCATTCTTTTTCCTTCGTACTTCTCTTTCCTTTTCTGTTTTGGTTCTTTTTATTTCTGTGTCTTCAAGAGCACTTATTCGTTCTTCCATTTCATCAATTCTGCTTTCATTGCTTTTCCCAGAATTCTTTAGTTCTTCCACTAATTCTTTGATCTCCTGCATTTCTTTTACTTCCTCTTTAGGGACTCAATTTCATTCTTCTGATCGTTGATTATTTTTCCCTTATCATTGTTTTCCTTTATGACTTCTGTCAGTTTTTTAATCACGGCAATTTTAAATTCTCTTTCTGGAAGGCTCAGAAGTTCTTCCAAGTTACTGTCGTTGCCATCTGGGGGCTGGTTTTCTTTTTGTGGTGTGCTTTTTCTCTGGAGAGTTGCTAGGTTGCGTGTGGTTCTTCTCCTCCCTACTGTCTGTTTTCTAATTTGCCGTATGCGTTGGGACACTGTGTTGTTGGGACTGGCCGGCATCTTGGGTGGGCTTCTCTGCTCCCCTCTGGTTCCTCCAGGAGTCATCTGTCAGTTTCAAGCAGTCTTTATTGGACAAAGGTCCCTGTCCTAAAATGCCGATATGGGGACACACTCCCCTGTGCGCCTGGTCTGCCCCAGCGGTGGGTTCCTGTTCCCCCTCTGGGCTTGGACTGCAGGCCAGATGGGGTCTGGCGTGGGCGAACTTCCCCTGCTCACCTCTGGCTCCTGAGGAAGCCTTGTGCAGGTAGTCTTTACTGAAGAAATGTCCCTGTTCTAAAATGGTGATGTGGGACACACTCCCTGCGCTTCCAGTCTCAGGCACACTCTTCTGTGCACCTGGTCTGCCCCGGCTGTGGGTGCTCGCTCTCCCTGTGGGCTCAGACTACTTGTTCGGAAGGGGCCCGGTGTGGGGTAACTCCCCAGCTGGCCACTAGCTCCTTCAGGAGCCTGTGCTGGCTTCAAGTCGCTAGGTGGCGCCAGAGATCTCTCCTAGAGCCCTTGGGGAGCTCATTTTCCACCCCGTGGGACAGGGAGCAGAGCGGGGATGGTAGGGTACACCTCAACGGCTTTGGGGTGCTGTGTCTGCCTTGTGCCCCACTGTCGTGGGGAACCCACGCCCCTAATTTCGTGCCCCGGGTCTCAGTTCCAAAGCCCTCAGTTCCAGGACGCGGGCTGTAGCCCAGTTCAGTGGCGCGGGAATGGCGCCTTTTGCACTGCTCCCGTGCCTGGGCGCCTGGTTCCTGCTTACTCAGGGAGGGACCTTCACCTCAGTGAGGACCTCTGCGTGTCTCCCCACAAGCCTAGGTCGTCTCCCAAGCCTAGGTCGCAGGCGCGGGGACCTGGGCAGCCGCGATCCCGGTCTGCACTTGCTTTTCAAGCGCGCCAAGCGCGCCGCTTTCCTGCGCCAGCTTACCGGCAGCCAGGGCTGGGTGCGCGTCTCCTGGGGTCTTTGTTCTTCTCTAATGGCGCCCGGAGCCGTTCGCTCACCGCCGCGGCGAATCCTGCAGGGTTCTTCACAGCTCCCGTTCACGGGGTGTGGTGGCTGCAATAGTTCCTTTCCACTCACAGTCCCGCTTGCTGCGTCGTTTGTTCTTGTTGGCCGTTTTGGTTTGTTGTTTTCCTCCTCTCTGCGGGTCGGAGAGTGCCGCCTCTGTGGGCGGGGGAGGGGAGCAGGGTTCTGCGCTTCCCTCCCTTCTGGTCCTCTTTTATGGCCACTTTCTTCTTCGGGTAGTTTGCTGGCGTCACCCGTTTATCTTCCTTGTCCCAGTTCTCACTGGGACCTGCCGCTTTTCCTCCCTATTAACTTTTTTTAATGGGAGATCTTACTCGCAGTGTCTCCTCACCGCCATGTTGCTCCGCCCCTTTTTTTTTTTTTTAGGAGGACAAACTATTATGTAAAGTTGTACTAGGTTTTAGAATAATGCATAGAATCTCAAAGAAAACATTCAGAAATTTAAAAGTTCCTTTTAAGGTGGAATTATGGATCTTCCCAAATCTCTTTATATTTTCCAGAATTTCTCTGAAGAACATGTATCATTTGATAAAATGAGAAAAATATCCCAAATTAAAGGAACCCATAGTAATATTGTATTAAATTGGGATAGAGAAATAGTAAGGAAATTGGAAGCTTCTTCCTAGACCTCATATCAAAGTGAGGAATATTTCTTCTCTACTAACCATTTTTGTAAATCTCTTTTTTTCCCATGTTCTTTTTACTCTGGATTTGATCTGTCTTATCTAGACTATCCCAATAGGCTCAGCCTATCTGTTTTTATCATGTGAATATGCTTTCTTTTGTATCTCTAAACATCCTGAGTGTTTTCCAGGACCTTTCACTCACTCTAGAAACTGCATTGGGTGAGTTTTGTTAGGCTGACCTTCCATGTAATGAAAAGGAGGCTGGGCTGACATAACTGAATTTTGACCATCTGCCTTGCTTTTTTATCTGCCGTGACCTAGAATGAGTTACTTGAAACTGAATCTTGGCTTCTTCTTAGTTTGCCCTCTTAATCAGAAGTGATAAAAGCTCAACTCAAATTTATTTTATGCAAAGTTATAGCCTCTTGGAAGTACTCATGGAAGGTTTGACAACCCAAGCTTTACAAATACAAGACTCTTGCTACTGGACCGAGGAATGCAAACACCAGGGTTTTTACTGTCTCTTGTGCCTATTTCTGTCTACATGCTAGTTTTAGCCTCTACGTCTTTTCTAGGTTTTATGTCTCTGTCTTCAGTTACCAGGAAAAGAACTAAAATCCAGGAGATATCACACTGATATTTGTGAATAAGGAGACTGTTCCTGTATCACTAGCAATAGCCAGGTGAGCAGTCTCAGGTAAGAATCACAAAGCCCTCATAGTATATGGGTCAGGTGGTAGAATCATGTGGTAAAGGGTGGGCAATACATTAGGTGTCCATTAGTGTTATGGTAAGAGTTTTTTAGGTAATGTATGTAAAGTATGCTAATTCTTCTTACTGGAATCCCTCGGTACCTATTGCATGGCAATGTTTGAGACTACGGAAAATCAACAGACAGCAAAATAGACAAGCAACCTTGTTTCAGTGGAGCTTATATTCAGAAAACTACACTCTACCATAGTAACCACTCATAAATACTGGCCATTAAGGTAGCCATTAGTTGTGGGTGGTTGTGAGGAGGAGTGGGTGGTTTAGGATAGAGTCCTGCTTCACACACTTGCCTCACACACAGGGAGTACAGTTCCAAGAGCAACTCCCACTCCTTGAGTACAGACAGTTGTGAGACCAGACTTGACTGGACCTGATCTCTGCAGACGATGGAAAATTAGATAACCAGCCCCACAGGGATCATTATTGCCCAGATCTTTCAAGCTAATCCAGGAAAAACTGGGAGCCCTCAGGACAGCTGTTAATGGAAGTTGGTCCACAACTGTGGCCACTGCCATAGCTGAACAGTGTGGATGACCCACATGCAAGAGTGTTCCGCCAGAGTCGCCCAGTGCTCCTGTTGCTGCCCCTTCCCCTTGCCCTTCACGCTATTCTCTATGACTCTAGCCAGCTTATAATGCAAAGCATCTGTGACGTGTTGGCATCTATAATGTGCAGAAGACTAAGATGCCTAAGGTTTCAGAGTCTGGTACAGTGGCAGCACTGCAGCCAGAATATGGTGGGCTAGGCCTATATTTTCTTGATTCCATAGATATGAATCTTAAATGTAGGGGTCCTCTTGGGGTCCTTGCTGTCCCTGCTCAGGTTCCTGGTCTCAAACCTGTGTGTGTTGTGGTTGTTTTGGAGCAAGGAGTTGGAAACATTACTGTTTTCCCTTGATTTCCTCAAAGTAATGACTCTTCTATGAGGAAGACTGGATATATGCGGAAAGTGTTAACAGGGCCCAGATCTATGGGAGTTGTAATTAAATCAAGGCAAACACTTCACTGTTTGTCAGTGAGAAGGGAGGACCAGACCTTGTGGTTTTCCAGCATGAACTACAGAAACTTAGGCTTCCTCAGAGACACCTCTGGCACCACCACCAAAAGGAGAGGAGTATCCTGAATTGATACTGCCAACCCTACCCCATCTGCCAAAGCAACTCTGTTTATAACTGCTGTATGTTCTATGGGTCTAGGTAAGACTCAGCTTGGGGGGAAAATACCCTGATTATCTACCTACCTATCTATCTATCTATCTATCTATCTATCTATCTATCTATCTATCTATCTATCTCTATCTATCCATCCATCTATCTATATCTATATATCATATATATACACATACACTCATGTGTGTGTGTGTTTGTATACTGGATTACTACAGTGTTGCAGCAATGACACAGTATGATTCCTATGGTGAACAGTCAAGCTTTGCATCAGAGAGGTCAGTCAATCAAGAAGATGATTTGTACAAATTCAAAGTTTTAATGACTATTAAATAATAAAAGAAAGGCAAATTTGCACTATGTACATTCTGTCCACCTATGGTACTGTCAGCTGACCATGCACATTTTATTGCACATATAAACAGTGTACATAGATCTTGAAGACATCTTAGCCATACAAGGATTTAGAAAAAAAAAAAGCCACTTTACAAAATATTGAAGTCATTTGTATTATACAGCCAACTTCAAGAAAACAGGAAATTAATATCAAAGGAAATATTTTAATTTTTGAAAAAAAAAAAAAACTCTCAAAACAAAGATTACAGAAAACTTAATATTGCCATATATACATGTACAAAAAATATTTCCGGACCCTGCATTCTGAATGCCCATCAAGGTGCAGCAATCTAAATTCCTATTTCTATAATCAACCTCTGAATGTTTACAATGAATACACTCTTTGTTCAAAACGTCTTTCTTCTTTACATCATTATGCTATTTGACAAACAGGTATTTGTGCAGTACAGGAAAATATTAAAATATATTTTAAGTTAGGTTAAAGTGCACAGTACATTTGATAGGAAATAACTGCTAGCTGCCAATCTAAACAATTGTTTTCAGTAACCCCTTCATGATGCTCAGAGTGGAGGGCAGCCTTGGCTTTGGGCTGATGTTTGTCTGTTATTCAATGCACATCCTCCTCTTGGTGTGTTTTCTTTTGTGTTCACCTTTACATTTGTCTTACAGATTGTGACTGCTGCTGCTCCTATGGCTTTTCCTAGAGGTGAAGAAGCAGTCAGCATTCACCAGACTCTGGGGTCTCTGCACCTGCAGGTTGATTTGAGTGCATCTGCACGTCACTCCTCAGTGACTCCCTCAGAACTGCACGGGTCCCTTTCCTTTGCTGGCCTTTCTCTAGTCATCCTCATGTTTTGTTTTAACTTGCTCCCTCCTAGGACACTGAGCCTCACCAACCCTACTTACTTAACCTTCTCCTCAGCCCACCTGATGTCGCATGCGGCTGCCCCACCAATTCACAAAATTTACTCCTGCATTTTCACACCAGAGACCACAAATCTTGCAGTGTTATGGACTTCTTGGAACGTCACCAACAAAGTTACAGTAAATGAGCACATCTACATCTCACAATTGTTTCTGCTTTTAAAACTGGCAGCAGTAGGAAGTGCTGATTAACTGATCCAGGCAGATCCTATGTGCCTTCAGTAAATTCTCCACCGTTCAGTTGAAGTTGGCCTTGAAAACCATTTTGGTTAGACAATAAGCATTTTATCATCTCTACTTCCCTATACCATTTCCTTATGATCTACCTTTGGTGCTAGACTTTCTTTAATCATCCAAGTTACAGTGCAAAATTATACTTCAAGACACATGATGCTAACACTTATTACTTGTGTGTTAAAACGTGAATGTTTTGTGCATAGCAAAATAAGTATGAATCCAAGAAAATAATTGTTCACATTTTATCTTCAAGTTTAGTATATATATTTTTTCCATCACAGCTATTTACAAAAAACTTTGGGGTGCTCTCTTGAGTCAGTCTCATTATATCAGGGGACAACAGAGCTGCTGGAATGTAGGAAACTGGATGGAATGCAGAAACATAAATAAGACCAATGTTCCATAAACCAAAGTATCAAAAATGTCTCCCCAGAAAACAGTTCTTGTCACAGAAGCACCTGTTTTTTCCTTAATTTTTTTCTGAGTCACATACATCAGAAAACATGATTTCTGAGACCTAGAACTACTGCACACCAAAGAGGATAGAAAATAACTCAATATTTATAATATTAAAATAAAGTGTTTAACCACAAAAAAGCAGTAATAAAATAGTTTCCTAATTTACAATTTGCATCCAAAGGATGAATAACAACTCACTAATAAATAATATTTATATAAATATTTTGTATGTCGAAAATAGATTTTTAAAAGGCAATGGTCTCAAGAAACTTCTTGAAAAATTTGGTGGTGAAAAACCTGATTGATTCCCCCTCCCCCCACCAAATACACAATGAGTTTGGTTTGAATAAAACAAATGCATCTTGCAGCAAAAACAGTTGTGCTTGGTGTTTTGATAATGGCAGTGGGTGAGCGTGGAAGGGTTAAAGGAGGTTGTAAAAGGCATTGATGTGCTGCTAAGTTCTTCATCACCAGCTCCCTTGCTGGTTTCCAGATGAATACCTGCCACGTCTTAATGTTGGAGGTGAGTTCTGAAAGGTAGAATTGTTTCCCTTATGTCCCTCTTTCCATGCAATTAGTCGGGGAAGTGACAGGCAGTGATGGGACAATGGGGGAACAGGTGCCGAGAGCAGAGTTCAGGGTCTCTGATGGGAGACGAGTCTGAGTCAACCCAAAGTAGAGGAGTTGCTTTCATGTGAACAGAGCCTTTGTTACAGAGACGTCCAGCAAGGCTTGGATGGTAATGCCCACTTTGACCAGGCCTTTCTCCTCAAGGATATGATGTGGTAGACATAGTTTTTCCTAAAAGAAAGAAGAACACAACAGATTTTTAGATGATGAGAACATAACCATGAAGTCTTGACAACAGTTAAGGTGTTTATCATACATCTGTCTGACCACCTCACCCTGTGTCCCTTCCTTGCTTTCTAACTATTGCAGAGATATTTTCTGCATTTGCAGAGAAGATAATGATTTTTCACAACATAGACTTGTTCCAGAAAGGCAATCAGTCTGAGATCTGCAATAGAGCTTAACTATTTAAGAAACCTTTGCACTAAATAACAGAGATACACAGAGTCATTTGGAAACCACATACCAAGAACATATTAGCTTATATCCTGGTTCTTTTTATCATGCAAAAGTAAAAATATTTTTTTCTTCTTTAAAAAATTACATTTTTGCAAAGCACAATTGCAAATAGCCTCTTAAACATTTTTAAGGAAGTTAAATATTCCCTTATACAGACCACACATCATTCTACTAACCATACCCCTTGATTTAACTCATGGTGTTTCCCATGATCTTCAGAATGGACGCATGATGATGGGCCAGTGTCCTGTCTTCATGGTTTGTGAAGAGCTTTGTTAATGAGTACTTTCAACCATGGCCCTCAGAGGCCTCTCTTTCAAGACTCATAAAATGAAAATGACGCAAATGTCTTGTTAATTTCTCATGTATTTTTGCTCTTGGGAAATTTCCAACGTATACAACTCAAGGAAAATAGTCGATGCAAATCAGTTGTCATGGGAAGAACTTTGCATGCTCAACAAAACAGTTTATAAAATAACACAAAATAATTTCACACCTTCATCATCTGGTTCTGGTCTGATACCATTCAAGAGAATCTCCTTCCAGACTTGACTAGGAAAAGCCTCCAACAGCAAACACTTCCCCTTGTCTAACTCATGATGGTGTTTTCTCCATAGCCCAAAGACTGTTGATTTTAAGGAAATCTTAAATGGGATCTACGTCACACCTCGAGTGGAGGAGGCTCTGCTTAACATGAAGCCAATCAGGGTTTCTGGACAGATTGCTTGTTTTTACAAGACTCTTACTTGAGAAGCCAGAGCTTCCTGCCCTCTCAATGTCAGCACTCTCCAAAAACTGCCAGGTCCAGAGGTTCCACTCTTCAAATAATATTCAAAGGACATGCCACGAGAGCTTCCGTAACTTATTCCTATGCTTCAAAATATCAATTTCCCTACATTCTCTCAACCATCTTACTACTACGTCCTCCTGCTCTGTCCCTAAATTGCCGTAACTTCAAAGACTCTTAGACTCTGACTCCAGGTCTTAAGGAACAACAGCAACAACAACAACAAAAAACAAACAAACAAACAAAAAAAAAAAAACAAACAAAAACCTAAACAGGTTACTCTTCAAGCACAATTTTTAGCCATTATTTCATGAGGCTGCTACCTATCAAAATAGTATTACCTGCTGCCAATGGTCTATTAGATGTATATGCGAGTTTATGCTGCTTGCCAACTTAGCAGCCAGTGTCAGCCAGAGAAAGGATGGGAGGCCTTGTGTGTGGGAGTTGTTCCCTAGGGGAGGAGGGGCAGTTTCTGCCTCTGCCTGCTGCCACACAGACATGAGTGTTTATGGTTTCGAGACAGCCTGTGCCACAGACTCGTGAGTCACCTGACTCTGGCCTTTTGCTGCAGAGGCTGGTTCCATGGGGGCTCCCGAAGCCTACAAATCAACACCTGACTTGTTAGGAAATTGTAAATGGGTACTGATTACGGTTAAGCTTCTGGCATAGGGCACTGCTTGGTGAGGAAATAAATCTCCACTTTATACCATATACCTACCATATGCTGATATGAATCTGATATTAAAGAGTTAAATGTTAAAAAAAAAAACCTCCCAATATAGATAATTAGCATTGTCTCTGATAAATGGATGGAGAAGAATTTCCTAAGCTTAAAAAGTTATTTTTTAAAAAATGACAATAGAAAAAAATAAAAGTAATTGATTGCCCAAAAGCTTAAAGCTTTCATGTGTCAAAAGAAAACCCCAATTAAAAGCTTAACAACAAGTTGCTAAAAAGTATTTGCATTAAATTACAAAGGATTCTATATTAAGCATAAGCTCAACAAATTAGTTGAAACAGCTGACTTGATACTAAGAGATCAACAAAGGACAAGGGACAGTTTTGTTTTGTTTTAATGAGGGGTTTGCCTAAGGCATTTTGAATAAGACATTTTGCTTCTCCACTTCAGTATTAGTTTATGTTTAATCCCAAAGTTTCTGAATTCTATTATTTCCACAGAGCCTAATCTCTGTGTATAGCACAGCTTTTTAGGGGCTTGCTGAGAGTTCCAGCTAGAAGTCACAAGTGAGGGCTTGAGAGTGGGTGGGATGGTATTGAGACCTCAGCCTCCTACTAACAGGGCTTTCAGACTGAGTTAGTCCACAGCCATTCTCTGTCCCAGGCCTTTTATTTTTCTAACCTTGTCTTCAAGGTTAGAAGGCATTTTTCAAGGCATTTTTCATTTTCCTTGTCTTCTCACTCCTAAACCAGGTGGAGAGTTAAAAATGCCACCATTACAGCTGGCAATGAAGACATAAAACTGCCTTTCTCTTTTCATTCACTTGCCTGGGAGAAGCCCAGAGGTGCTATCAGATTCCTTTAATGGGGTTGCAAGTACTTGAGAATATTAGCATAAGATAATGAAAACCTTTCAAAAACATGGTTTTCCTAGTTATTCTATTCTATCACAGGACTGGGATGCAGAATCTGATGGGAATTACAAGTTGAGCTGATAATTGGTAAGATGAGAAAAGGGAACCTGCTAGAAATGAGAGAGTAGCAAGGATGGCCAGAGGCCACTGTCCATCACACTGGCACTGCCATTGCATATCCTGTGGAGGGAATCCCTGAAGTGAGCTAGAAGTTGGAATGTGGAAGGAAATGCTATAGATTTATAACCGGATGAGAAATGGCAGACCGCCTCACCTTATGTATAATGAATGTAGAACAGAGATAACTGTGTATTCACACTGACTTAAAATGTATTAAATTTCATTGCCATAAGATCATAGTGGCTTTCACTGGGAATGCGCCAATAGTCTGTTTTAGTGTACTCACTAACTTCTTTTGTGTTTCTTTTTAAAGCACACAGCAGATTCACAAAACAGTATCCTGTAAGAAAACAATGTTTCTGGCGTCATTTGAAGAATGTGTGCCTTGTGCTGCTCTGCCAATTGTGGAACTGATTAGATTAGCTTCATTCACCCATCTCTCTTCTGATCCACAGTCAACAGGGCTGGAAAGGGCTGGCAAGCTATAAAGACTTTCAGGCACTTCCTATATGCCTGGCACCAACGCTAAGGATTTGCATGATTAGATTTTTTAATAATAATCTGTAGTATCTGTTTTACAGATAAGCAAACTGAGACTGAGTTTAGGTAACACTAATTAACACAGCTGGTTAAGTACTGGAACCAGGATTTGAACATGTGTCTATCTCCTCTGTAGGCTGGGGCTCTCTCCATGACATCAGACTTCTTTCCATAAATTCCTTAATCAACAAGTGAGTATGTTAATTGTGTGCCCATGAGACAGAAGAGACCTTTATAGCCTCAGAGCCCTATCCTATCACATGCAACATCAGGTGGGGATCAGAGAATCCTTAACTTGCAGAAAGTCCTGTTTGTGCTGCCACTCAGCTCTTATGGCTTCTCTTGGTAGTGAGGCACAGATATCTTAGCCTCATGGGAGCAGGCAACTACCATCACTGCCTGACTTCTCTTTCTACGGTTCTTTTTTTTTTTTTAATGTTCTTTTTTTAAAAGATTTATTTATTCATGCATGCAAGAACTGGGGTACAGGCCAGAGGTGTGTGTGGGAGGAGGTGAGAGAATTCACCAGAGACAGAGTGGTGAGCAGAACAGGCAGACGGACCGAAGGCACAGCTGAGGGGAGCAGCAGGCGAGGCAGGAAAGGTCTGCCACGCCATGTGGGCATCTCCGCAGCCAGCCAGGATCGAACTTGCACTGCAGAGGCTGAGGACAGAGTCTTAGTGCAGTGCTCAACTGCCTGTGCCACCAGGGGAGGCCCTCTTTCCACGGTTCTTTATGCTTCCTACCAGCCGCACATCTACCTCCAGGTCAGAGGTCAAACCAAACTGCAGTCATTCACATCAGCATTATTCATTCTGCCCAGCCTGTTTCTAAAATATAAAGTCCTGGTAGGAAATTGAGCAAAGCTTAAAACTGTTTCCATCATTTTCATCTAAGAAAGTTCGTTCCAAGCTCCAGCTCTGCCACAAAAGAGTAATTTGAGGGCCAGAGTCTCCATGTGAAATGGAAACACGTCAGACCCTTACAGACCAAGAGAGCTTCTTGTCACATTTCAGCTGATTCTCTGCTTTCCAGTGATGCTACTTTCTAGTGCCTCTTGTCCAATTCTCCACCTATGCTACCTCCTCATTCACCCCCCAATCTGTCCTCTGTAGCTGGCTACTCCTACACATCTTTTAGGTCTCAGTGTAAACACCATGGTTTCAGAAAGACACATCGACTATCCATTCCCCAACATAGTCAGCTACCCTTCTCACTTGGTGACAGAATCCTTTATCTGATCCACCAAGGGCCATATCACACCAAGTTCCTACTTATCCATCAGATCTACTAAGTCAGGGTCCAAAAACCATGGCCTATAGACCAATGCAGCCCATAGCCTGTTATTGTAATTAAAGTTTTATTGGACCACAGTATGATCTATTATTCATCTAAGAACTGACTCTGGCCACTTTCACATGACAGCAATAGAGCTTCAAAATCCAAACAGATATCATAAGATCCACAACATCTAAAATATTTATTATTTGGCACTTTACAGAAAAAATCTACAACTCCCTAGACTATTATTAATATTTTGAGGACAGGACCATATGTCACGGTCACCTTTTTATCCTGAAGGCCAAAACACAGGGGCTGAGAAAGAATGTTCATTCAGCATTCAGGAAAGAATGAGTAAGCACAAGCATAAATGAGAAGCCAATGCTCTGGTC